TTCAGTGGAATTGATTACACGACGCCAGGACAGTTTTCACGCAAGGTTGTAATTGTTTTGTCCATTTCCCTCGATTCGTAAATATTTTCATTTTTTTTTACCTGACGATTTAACATCAGCAAGCGTCTGTGCATGGTGGATTCGGGATGCGATAGCCATTTTTCTGGGCGATAAACGTCACTTTCATAAAAAGGGCATTATATTCGTTTCTGTTTTCTGTTGGTCAGAGAGATTGAAACTTAATTAGCTCTCACAGTTTTTGTCAGTTCGACTTGACATTTTCAGGGACTTGACAGAAAGTACAGGAGGGGGGGGGGTCACTGAATTTCGTGCAAGTGTTGAGGGAAATAATCTGTGTAGGCATAAAGGGGAGGGTTGCAATTTTGTTTGCAATGCAAGCCTCATGACACTATAGTAAACCGATTGTATACACAGTCTGGTTGACTGTGTTGCCTCAACAAACACCTACTCTTATTACGCATTCAGCAGTTGTATTTACGTTGAATGGAATGTTAAAAACTTAAGTTATATTCAGAGCTATGACGATGACCCACTGTCTGATAATTCTAATAATAAATCATAAGACAGTGGAAATGAAAGTTTCTAGCAATTCACCACCTGGGGAAAATAATATTTATGTAGGAGTACTACTGGATTAAAACACACAGATTTTTTGTAGTGTAATTTTATGATATAATAATGTTTACAATACCAATAGCCACCGTTTGTTTACATGTATTTCAGCAGATTGTAATTATTAAGAAAAGGCAACTTCTACACTACATTACTCAATACCCTGATTATTCAAATGTGATCTTTAAAATGTAATTACGATTATGAATAATATTTGATCTAGCAGTGGCGTGGCTAGCATCTTTATACTATAAAGGTACAACCAGTTACCTTTGGTTCTCTTTCCCTTCACAGTGTATTTAGCTTTCTTTGGTAAAAGTTTTATCTTCTTTAGTGTAGGTGTTATAGTGTGATTGTAGAATTTTCTTCACGGGAATGTATTTACCCCAAGCTGGGGAAAACTTGTGTTGGTATGGTGGCTGTGCTGTCCGGGGGGGGGGGGGATTACAAAAAATACTGGCAGGGGTGTGTAGCTGGTTGTTTGAAACCCCTACCCCTTATCAAACAGAAATAAACTCAAATTGCCTACTCCTTTTCAGACAAACTGTGGATATTTGACACCCCTTTCCAGACAGTAAACATAAATAGTACCAAGGGAAAAGCAGGTGGACTCCCGGAGATGGACTTTGACGATGGAAATGAAGTTACAGAAAGAAAAAAAAAATAGCTTCATTCTCCTGATTGTTGGATTACTCAAGCTCTAGAGACAGTCTTTGGAAAATATGGTCCCCCTTTTTAGACAGAAATAATGAAAAAGGATACCCCTTTTCAGACAGACAGAATAAAATAACATAGGTTTTGTGCTATCCTATAATAGTTATGTTAAACCATGTTTGATTCTGGGTTTTAGAATAAGCTGACGTTAGGTTTGAAGTGGATAGATAATTGTGCTCTATCTGCCGCTAAGCTGCGAATAATGACGTCACAAATGTAATCAATGTTTTATCAGCAGTGTTCTCAATATCTTTAACATCCAAAAAAATGGTTTCACCTTTTTATAATCACTATATCCCACAGGGAGCCCAGGAACTGTAAAACTACAATCAACTGTACACAGTCTCAATGAGAAGGGGGATATCGCTGGTATCTAGTGTAAGAAATAGACAAGGGATGAAGGTTCCAGCGAGCTCATATTTTTTAAACTTTTAAAGAATGAAAAATAAAATCTATAAAAAATACCAGGTTGAGAATATTAGTTGCTCTTTCTGCAGAATAAATCAAGAAAACTACACAAATTGACTCATTTATGACTAAATTCGGTTTGCCCGAACGCACGGCACAGTTGGAGGCGTGGCCTATTCAGAAATTGTCAACAACCAACCATAAGACTGGTTACGAATCACCCCGAGGTTTACGACTTGGTTAGCCTCGCTCAACTGGTTCGTAACCAGCCTTTTTTCTGCCATCGTCTGTATCGTCCCACCCAGAGTTGTTAATGGCCCAGCCCTGAACAAGTCTATTGATGTACTTCCGGGGCACGCCTCTGAGAGCTCATTTGGATTTTTTCCGGGATTCTTCACCGTCATTTGTGATGGCGACGTCCGTCGTATACCTAGAAGATATCGTAACGTTTGTACGGCGACACTACATCGCTCTTGCATCGGTTTCATTTATAGGTACTTACCATGAGAGTTAGTTTATTGTGTACCCGAATTTGTAGCAGCTCATTACCATACATAATTTGTGTTGGGTCAACATATGATATACCGGTAGTAGTTCAAACGTCGCAGTTTTCCGATGTTTTTATAATCAACTGATGTCAATTATTATCTCAAGTCATGATTAAGATGCGTTATTTGTTAGTGCCCGTTATTATCGGTAATGTGTATGACTTTATAATTCAGTTATTCAGACTTTACGTGGTGTGGCGCGGCGCGGCGCTTAGATTTTTAATAATTAATACGTTGTACGCCACAAGTGTACGTGAGTATATTTTGTTCTTTTCTCCCCTTCTCGCGGAGCTTTTTACAAAATAATATCGTACTGTGTACTGTGGCAGTTTTTACACAATTCTTAGATATTGGAACTAATGCACTATTCATTTGCTGCCCCGACACATCCATCCCCTGCTCCAACCTGGACTTTAGATTAAAGGGCGGTAGTCGTCACGCCACGCATGCGCGAGATATATGGGTCTCGTATAAACAAAGATGGCGACTTCGACTGTTGCATGACCAACAAGTACAAATTGAGACGATTCCAAGCTTTAATTAGGTAATTTTTAGGTGATGAAAGATCTCAAAGGAGTCATCAGTGGTAATTAGTGCAATTCGCGCCCAGGTCAAACTTCATAATTGTGATTTACATTTGAAGAGCATTGGAAAATCAATGTTTATCAACACAAATGTCACATACGCAGCGCGGAGACAACCGCACTTTCAGTGTACGCAACATAGCTGGCCAACAATGGCCACAAAATATTTATTTTAAGGTTGTGTGATCAACTTCTATATGTGAAATTGTGTTGACACCTTTGTTTTCTCCAAATCATTTACATGCCAGACTATTAAAATAGACGATTAAAAACCACTGAGAAAATGCACAAAAATGACAATCCTAATATGTTTAAAATATAATGTTTCCGTTCATATGAAATTTAACACATTTATTTTCATCCAGTTATCAATAGTTAATAATCTGTAGGTTTTGCGACAGACTGTTCTAGACATATGGCCATCTTCTATCATTCCAGGCATTGGTTTTACACTGCTTAGAAAATGGGCTGATGGTGGTGTATGCACAAGTCAAGCCAAACTGACTGGTAAAACAGTTATAATCACAGGAGCTAACACTGGCATCGGTAAAGAGACAGCTTTGGTACTAGCAGAACGAGGTATAATATGAGATTTTCAGTGTTCCAAAACTTATTATAATTATTAAGATTTTCATGCTGCCAAACTGAATATCATATTTTCTTTATTAGAATCATATCTGCAATACAAGAACATATAAACAAATTATGACACTTGTTGTTTATGTAATTTAACCACAGAATCACTTCTGCAACTCGTTTATGTAAGTGTATGCGCTACTAATAGAGCAATTACGGTATACCATTCTTTTGTTTTATTTCTCTAAACATCTGTTTTTCAGGTGCACGGGTAATTCTTGCATGTCGAGATATACTGAAAGGTGAAAGGGCTGCCAATGATATAATCAGAGAGACTGGAAATCAAAACGTAGTTGTGAAACAGCTGGATCTGGCAAATCTAAAAACAGTTCGTAAATTTGCTGATGATGTCATCAACAAAGAATCCCACCTAGAGATATTGATCAATAATGCAGGCAAGTTCGTTGTTATAGTTTGTTTGCTTTTGTTAATGATTTTAAAAGAAGAACATCAATTTTAGAAAAGAAGTTGAATTATGAAATTGTGTTTCACGAAATTGTGTGTCATCCTTGCGCAGGGGCCATGCTACCGGTAATCTTCATTGTAAAATTGTGTATTTCTATAGCTTTTAATATCCAACAAACTGTTTATAAATACTTTTTTGGGACTTGCCAGTCATATTTCATAAACCGTCAACTCTCTTGGAAGTATATAGCATACACATAGCATTCACTATCCTATCAGTACAAATAGTGGGGAGAAGTACAGTAGACAAAACACCACAAACTGGCAAGATAGAAACCAACTTTCCTCTGATTAAGTTCATAGCTGACTAATCATATATGGGGCTTAAAGGGGCACCTTCCAGTTAAGATTAATTTTACAACAAATTTACTTTCTGGATTAAAATAACAATGGATAACAAAAGATAGATTAACATTGTAAACAACATAAACAATAGTGTCCCATGATTCTTTGGTGCAATCCAAGGGATTGAGCGGTTCCCCTTTAACTAGACCTTGTTTTCAATGCTATATCTAGTTCTGTTTTCTCCTGTATTTTAGGTGTAATGGCATGTCCATACTGGAAGACTGACGATGGATTTGAAATGCAATTTGGTGTCAATCACCTTGGCCATTTTTTACTCACCAATTTATTATTAGACTTATTAAAGAAATCATCACCATCACGTATAATAACAGTCTCATCACTTGCTATGGAAACTGGACAGATTAATTTTGAGGATATTAATTCTGAAAAGAACTATGTACCTTGGGTAGCATACTGCCAAAGTAAATTAGCCAATGTGTTATTTACAAGGGAGCTCAGCAAAAAACTTGAAGGTGAGTTGATTATTGAAGTCTTGTAACTTTATTTTGCTCTAGGTGGTGTAGAAAATTTTGTGGAAAATCCAAAAATTGTTCAATACATGCATGTACACGTTTTATTTTAAGTATAAACATGTTGCATTCTCCTTATTTTACTTCATTAAAAAGCACATGAGAAACTTTATGAATGGTCAGTTGGTATTTTTAGTCCCCGTTTGGACGAAGTCTGAAAACGGGGACTTATAATTCGGTCTGCGTCTGTGCATCCATGCGTCCGTCCGGAGTCATATCTCAGAATCCCATGGACCGATTTTGTTCATTCTTTGCATGTGCCTAGTACTTTATCTGGGACATATGCACATGCAGTGGGATAGCGATTTGATTGAAAATGGCCGACTGGCAGCCATCTTGTTTTTTGAAAATGTTGTATTTTGGACATGCTTTGTCAGTTTT